CTCCCTCTCTCTCTCCCTCAGTGGGCGATAAATCAAGCCCGCATGTCGGATTCCCATCCATTAGAGACACTGCTGTCTGTCCGCCCGCCCGCCAGGCCCACCTCCCTCAAACTCACTGCCCTTGCATAAATCATCACTGCTCAGGCGGGGGACACCACGTGGACCTGGAAATCCTTTTAGGCCAGTCCTGAACTCTCGGCGGCGGCGGCGGCGGCGGCGGCGGCGGCGGCGGCGGCGGCGGCGGCGGCGGCGGCGGCGGCGGCGGCGGCGGCGACCGCGAAACCACCAGGACATGCGGGCTTTCTGGAGTGCGCTCACCCAGGGCAAACCTGTGTCCCCCCTGTGGGGTCCTAAACGGTTTACGTAAGCCACGAGCCTGCGCTTATTCAGCTCGACCCCCCCCCCCCCTCCTGTACAAACTACCCATGAACAAACCGAGTAGTTTTGTAGTAAAATTGCAACTATAAAACAACAGCAAAAGGGGCGTTACGAGACATGCTTTTGATGCACAACCGAAAATAATCAAACGAAAGTGGGAATTCTCAACGGCTAATATCAAAGTCGACATCATGCATACCCTGCTCATGTGAATAGTTGACAATCAATGTCTACACCCTGCCCCAAGGTGCAAAGACACATGTTGTCACTTAACCGTTTTAAGAAATTTACAACATGTGAAGCTTTCATAGAGTGAATTTGATGATATTAAAACAGCACAGGTGTATGACTAGAAACAAAATATGTCGCGCATGTTGAAGGGTTTTTGGCATATCTGGCCAGTTGATCACCCGAGATGCACTGCAGTGAGGGAAAACAATTGCCCATACCTTCAGGAAATGAATCCAAAAAGTATTGTCATACGTGCAGGCCGAATAATATTACCAGCTAGTCGCTGCACCCGGTGCCAGTTTTATTCGCCTTTCTGCTGAGATAGGATGAGGAAGAGAAAACAACCGGTCAGGCGTGTAAACAAAACCCAGCCACCTGTAATACTAAACCGGTGGTAATAGGGGCTTTTTAGAGGTGGAGCCGGGAACTCACAGGCGACGAGGTCACATAGCTGTATGCAAAAGAAAAGCTGTTGGGAATGCCCGGTTGTACTTTGAGTGGTTGGGAAATAGTGGCCCTAACCCCTAACCCCTAACCGCAACTCCTAACCCTAAACTCAACAATATTGTGTCCAGAAGACGAAAATGCGATTATTTGTTCCAGGGTATGCCGACCGTAATTAAACGAGGGAGTTCTTCGATTGAGGAAGTCTACGGCCCCCACACCAAAGGGGCCGCTCTGCTGTCGAACTCCGACTGGACAAAATCCCTCACGACTGAGTTCTCAGGAACCATCCTCAACCGTCCATCCATGATCTCTGGCGCTGTCATCCACAGATTCTCCATGTTTAGCGAATAGTGTTCTGGACCTTCCCTCATAGAATCAATCAGAGCCGTACACCAAATATCCATCCGGATCTGACGCGAGCTCAGCTAAAGTCTACAAACATGGCGGGCGCCAACTGCTGGACAAGCTTCCGACAGTTTTGTAGGGTATCTGACACCAGTGTGAAGCTTCCCAGATTTCCAGGGGCGCAACTATCGTCCATCTTCACGATCGGAAAGGGGACCGGTAGCTTTGTGATAGTCACAGAGGAATGTCGTTGTTCAGCATTGCTGGTAAGAACTTCGCTCACGTCATTCTCAATCTTCTTACAGTCCATTTGAGACAAGGACTTCTCTCGAAAAGTCCGTGTGGTTTCCAACTGGATCACCGACGTAAACTTTGCCGTCCACCAACTACAAAAGAAGTGACAGGGGATGCGAGCACAACTCCATACTACTTTTGTGAACCTGACATGATGAAGCGTAATGTACTCCGGAAAATCATGCTCAAATTCGAATGTCCTGAGCGATTCACGCACTTGTTGCGTCAGCTGCCCGACGAGATGGTAGCGCGCGTCACGGACAACGGGACAGTCTCAGAAGCAGATTAACATTACCGAAAGGGAGAAGGGAGACTGGAATGGCCATTTCTGGCCGTCACCAGCCAGTCATACTCAGCCTCGAGGTGCGGACCACTTGGGGTCCGATCCCGCGAACTGTTTGTTAGAAGTCCAACGCCCCTTCCCACCGAGTCACTAGCTCGTTGTCCTGTCGGGTGCGATCGGGATTGTGCAATGGTAGAGGGGCGCTCACCGACCGTGTTACGGAACTCACTCGTCCCGTTGTGCCTTAGGGCTCTCTCTCTCTTGAGCCCAACCAGAAGCCGCAAGGCGGTGCATAATATAGGCAGATTAACATTACGATTGGTGAACGCCCCTCTACCATTGTATATTCCCGATCACAACCGATAGGACAACGAGCCCGTGGCTCAGTTGTTAGTGTGTTGGACTTCTGGTCAACCGATCGTGGTTTAGAGCCTCAGGGGTTGCAAAAATCAGGGGTGAGTATGACCGGATGATGACACTAAGTAGGCCGAAAGTGGCTACTCTAGTCCCTCATGTCTTTGTCGGCAATGCTACATTGCCTATCTTACGCGCAGCTGTGCGGCTGCCGGTTGGGCTCAAGAGAGCTTAGGCACAACGGGACGAGTGAGTTCCCTAACACTATCGGTGAGCGCCCCTCTACCAGTCTCAGAAGCATTTACAGCAATTAATGGAGTGAAGTAGGTCTTCATACTTGCTTCTACCCTCTCCAGCCTCATGTTCTCTGTCATACTG